CTCTTCCGATCTCCCCAAAACCCCAAAACCCCAAAACCCCAGACAGAGTCTTTTTTAACATTTGCATAAATATTAATTGATTGATATAATAATTTTAAGTGATTATAATAAGAGAATGAACGTAGTCGGAGGAGTTTAACTTAATAACATTAACAGTTTTCAGCACACTCTAAATCAGACCATCTCGCCCACTAATTACCAGACTATGCAAGCTAATATTGACAGAAGTTAAATCATCAATCAGCCAAACTAGTTTAATATGTACGGGAGAAATCAACCATAAACAGGAATCAATTCCTAATATTCATATTAATCGCAAACAGATGATTAAATGTCTACTCGAGGACCAATGGAACAATTGGACAACTCCAATACTAAGGCCAACAGAAAATTCATATAGAATGCAGCTTTGAAATTTCGGAGAAAATTGATTAATAACAATGCCACTAAGAGAAACGGGTCAAATCAGAGAAGTCCCTTGGTTGAGTAGTAAGTTAACTAGCAGAGCAACGCTGCGAATAATAACAATTAACGATATTAATACCAGACTGTCTCTCCTCGTCCTTAAGCATAGTAAATTAATGTCAATGCTAGCACTATTAGCAACACTAGTAAGAATGTATCAGTAATAAGTGATAACGCTAGAAGATTTAATGATTTACATCTGCCTTCTACTTTTGAAATCTCTCCTAATAGACCCAATATCTAGCAGTTTTAGACAAAAACTCCGATTTAAATGAAGCCGAAAGCTAATGGCAAGAATCTGTAATTGAACTTTGTTAATGGGAAATTGGAATAAATACTTGATCAATAATTCAAGATACATAACTCATCAACAAACCGACAAGCAAACCAAACCACTTTAAATACCTAAGGTGTTGCTGGCCAGTAAAATTCATTCATGATAAATCCATCCTCTCAGGATTCTAAGATATAATTACTCCTATCGAATGGCTAGCCATCATCAAAGTCCTAGGCAAGAGAAAAGATATCTAGTAAGTTCAATCGTCATAGCAGAATGCAAGGTCAAACTAAGAAGGGCTAACAATCCAGGCAAAATAATGATCTAAAGAGATAAGCCTCAAATAATAGTACATCACCAATATCTGCCAGATCGCAACGGACCACTGAAGTCTAAAATAAAAATAAATAAAACTAGTAATAGTAGCAATAGCATCAGTAGAATCATCAACAATCATTTTAGTAGAATATGATTAATAACATTTAGCAGTAAATTCTTGGTGGAGATATGCAAATAGTCTAGCTAAACTTAGGCTCATAAGCTACTCCCAAGCAGTAAAATATCATTAATATGACTTAGATCGGTTGGAATAATCAGAATATGGAGAAATCCATTATGATAAACAATAACATTAACATTATAAATAACAATACTACTAGCAGCAATGATAATTCTATATATAACACAGCACGTAGAGGGCCATAGTTAAAGGACATTTATATAACTAATTAGTAAATTCTTAATAGTACCAGATTAAATGACAGAAATAAAAAACTCATTCTAAACACAACCAACCCATCAGATATAGGAATACCTCTCTTAGGTATTACTGGATATGGCACATCAACGAATGCTTAAATTCAGAACTAAATAAACTAGATCTAGAAAAGAGCGATGGAGAATCACCCACCCAAGATGTAGTAATCTTCCTTCCCACCTGTCTTAACTAATAATAGTATCCCCCAAGATTTCAAGGAACTCCTCATTCAGCAAAGTATAAATAAGGCCAAGGATGGTCATTCCAAAAGAAGTTCTAATAAGACCACACAGGAAAATCAGATGATAATAAACTAGAATGCTCAGCTAATGAAAACCATAGATTTTTCAAAGATATAAAACATAGTAGCCTAGAAAACATAAGGAGAGCGAAACGGTAGATCTGGAAGCTCTATAAACACAAGCAAAGATGGTGCCTTTTCTCAAATTGGCTCTAGTTCTAATTCTTTGCAAAGAAAATTTATCTAAGGAAAAGAAGAGATTAATCAAAAGCGTGGGTTACCTTTATCAGGTGATGATGCATATAAAGTATACTATTAGAGTTTGAATCCTTTTGAGCGTGAGGAGATCAAGAGTTTTGAAACTATCTTTTACTATAATCCAGCAATAAAGAGGAAAGAGGCACCAATAACAACAGAGGATGGAGGAGAGCCAAAAATATTTAATTTTGGCTATGACACAGAGGATGGCGACTATTTATATGAGATAGGAGATCATATCAACTACAGATATGAGATTATGAAGAAATTGGGAAGAGGTGCTTTTGGAGTGGTTCTAAAATGCCTAGATCATTAAAGTAAAGAGATCATTGCCTTGAAAATACTCAAGAATCAGAAGAAGTTACATAAATAAGGTAAAATAGAGATAAAAATCCTTGCACTTTTGAGAGATAATGATGTGGAGGACAAACGAAATATTGTGTTCATCAAGGATAGTTTCACCTTTAGAAATCATGTTGTAAGTATACCCATTGATTTGATTACTCTGCTATAGTGTATATGCTTCGAAATGCTAAGTATAAATCTGTATTAGTTCATTAAAAACAATGAGTTCTAGGGTTTCTCAGTGGCACTTACTAAGAGATTTACTACACAGATTTTGATAGCTTTGGCATACCTTTATAAATACAATATTGTGCATTGCGATTTAAAACCTGAAAATGTCTTGCTTAAAAAACCTAATAAATCTAGTATCAAGCTAATTGACTTCGGAAGTAGTTGTTTTGAGTCTGAGCGATACTACACTTATATATAATCTAGATTCTATAGAGCACCTGAGATCATGCTAGGTATACCTTACACTCCAGCAATAGATATGTGGTCTTTAGGCTGCATTGTATATGAGTGTTTAGTAGGTATTCCATTGTTTGCAGGAGAGAACGAAAGAGATCAGATGGCAGCTATCATGGAGGTAATTGGATTGCCACCTAGATCTCTCATAGCTAAAGCCACACGTAGAAAAGTCTTCTTCGATGATGACTACAACCCTATAATAAAGGTAAATTCGAGAGGCAAACTTAGAAAGCCAGGCTCAAGAGCACTGGAAACTATTTTAAAAGTAAATGATCCAGACCTCATTCAGTTTTTAAAGGTAAATTTCGCTAAATAACGTAATATAGGGTTGCTTTGAATGGAAGCCAGAATAGAGAATGAAACCTGAGGAAGGTATCAAGAGTCCCTGGATTCAAAAAGCATTATTAGAGAGCCGAGTAAAAAAGTAATCGATATAAAATTAGCAAACAGACTTACTATGATCTTAATAATCTTCACCTATATATGTATAAATAAATAAATAAATGGAAGTGCATTTGCAACTAATTATTTAACTCTAAGATTTTATCAATCTTTTATAGAGGGGTTTTGGGGTTTTGGGGGTTTTGGGG